CACCAGATGTTCGTTTGACCTAAATACTAAGTTCAGGTTGATGCAATCCGCGAGGCATCCTCTCTCGTTTCGCGTGAAAATGGGCTTGTCCGTCAAGCGGCTTGTCGGACAACTGCAGAGAAGAAACTTATTTTTGCAAAAGCTTATTGTTAACACTTTTTCAAAAATGCTTTGTATGCTCATAACTAAAAACGAAAAAAAAATATATAGTTTGTATAGATAATATATATATATAATATCAAAGATTTACTAATAGACTCAAAGCCTATTTACTGCGTGTGTGAGAACTCTAATGAGTAAGAAGTTTTCTTTTATTGTCGCTCAATCCCAATGCATTAAAAAAAATTCTTCTATGTCGAATGATTACTTTTTAAATAACATTTTCTTTCCTCCAAATATATTTATAAAACAGAGCCATCTGATGATTTTGTCCTCGAAGTAAAGTCGAACACCAGTAATGTATACTCTGCTGGGAAGGACAAGTCAATAATACTCGCCAGGATTGCCCGACCGTTCGAGGTGAGGAAAGGCTATACACTTCACAACTATTCACATTTTGCCACTCAAACATAGTGTTCTATTTCAAATATAATTAAGTTATTTGTCATTTATTTCTTGTTTTCAGTTCCCCTTTAGTTAAAACACGTCCACTATTGTTTATAAGTTTTTAAACTTTTTGGTTGTGGTCGAGATGGCAATAATGTACTGTAATCCCACAAGCATCCTCGTATCCCTGCATTAGATTCACTATTTTTACTATGTCCATCTGCCTTATTCTCCATCTTAGGTTAAATTTTCTAGAAAACCTTGGCACTTTTCTACATCTCTCTTCTCCATATTCCCTCCCCCATCGTCATATTCTGCTAAAATGTGTGTTATTTTACGAACCATTTTGAAAACCAACTCGAATGCCACAATGCTGCAGGCCACCTGCCGTCCCGTCTGGCTTGATGGTCAGGAACGACTTCAGGGTCTTCCAGGAGAGGAGCGACCCAGGCTGGAATGGTTCTACTACCGGCCACAGATTGCCGGAGATGTGCCCATTCCCAGTGAGGTGGTTCTGGCCAGCCCGCCTCAATTAGAAATGCTCACAGTAACACCGCAACGCGACAATGTCATTCGCCTCGAGACAGCAGCCTATCAATTCCCTGATGTCGAGGCCGTCTTCTACTGTCGCGCCTCCTATGAAGGCCTTAAAGTAGCGGAACATACTGTTTACATTCACCGTAAGCCAATGAGCCTACTTTTAGGCTTTGCTATATCAATACCTCTTATTTATAGACTGGATTATTTAGTCTTGCCGATTCTCGTGCAAACTTTTGCATTGGGTGAAGGTACACTTTGCTGAAATAAATGAAAAAAAGCTGGGTTTCGAATGCTCCCTTGATAACTTTATAATGTTGTACGGTAGCAGAAACTAAAGAAGATGCGACCGGTTTTGTATAAAGAGGCTCTCGGCTGACCGTTTTGCAACTCCAAAGAATCCGTGTTGAGTTTCCGTCCATCCCACCTTGACAGACATTGCAAAGGAAAAAAAGCGATGCTAAAATGCACTGAGATGCAATCTTACATGAATTTTGTAGCTCAGCTCTGCTCGTAGTAAGTAGGCTTCTCATTGTTTGTTTGCTTATGGCTTGCTTCTCACACATTTTTGCTGAAGAGTGAAATGGCTTCGGATAACGAGTGAGATGGATGTTGCTGCGGTCAAACAGCCAATTTTATTTTGTATTCTGCATTGTTGGTGCCTCAACGTGTGTCAGTTTGCTCTTGTGTTGTGCTCCTATGATGCTCTTGAGTCATTTAAGATATTGGAGACCTCTTATCGCTTCCAATCTGCTTAATCTTATCCAACCACCACAACTAATCTCCACTAAACTTTCTACACTCTACTTTTATTCGGTATGCTAGTAATTTCCCTTCTTATTATTTGCTATTTTTGCTTTAATTTGACCCACAAACTTTAGGACAACTCGTGAAATCTTCATATCCTGCGGAAAGTTTTGCATTAAACTATCCATCTTATGTCAAGTATCAGATATGCGTTTAGCCAGTTCTTATTTGTAGGCCCACGCCTACCTTTAAAAGACTTTTTATGCTCAGATAAAGATATTATGTATAATGTAGAAAAACTGGGTTACAAAGAATCCCTTAAGAGATTGATATTGGAATGCCTTTCATTTCTTTTGAATGGGTGAGTGAAAGGGATTCGTAAGTTAGTCCTACCGGAATAGGGGGGGGGATTGTCTTGGAGTTGGGATTGTAGCTTTGTGCGAATAGCTCCTCAGGGCACGGCCTCGCGACCCCGATGTATCCTTGCTAAGAATCTTCTGTCATGGGACAGTCATTTTCAAAATAGGAGTTGTATGATAGTCTGAAAAACTACTTATTTATAAAATGATTAGCACCATAATAATTCTGAAACCATCATTTACGAAAAATTCACCAAAATTTTTAACCAAGCAAGGTTGTTGAATTAAAGCCTACTCGTTTTACGTACCCAATTTTGCGATCTTAATGAGAGATCCGATGTTTTGGTTATCAACCTTATACGATCTGACACGTATGCAGAGAAATTAGGTTGATGCATGAAAAATGAAAAAAAATGTTTTTGCAGCGTTTAATTTACGTAAATAAACTGTGAGTTGATCCTGCAATACCGCGGCCTGCTTTAGGTATGTGGATGCATGTACGCTATGCGGATCCAATACTCACGAGTCACTTGAAAATGTAGAGCTTAAACCATGCCCCATATTAGCCAAGCTTCTCCTTACTCGATAGTTCTTCCTGCTCTCTCCCTCTCTCCTTAATTCTATCCGAAAGCCGAAAGTATTTCTTGCTTAACTTCATACACTCGTTCTTCCTGTTCAGAGAATTTTGTGTTTTGGTTATTTCAATCGCCCTCCCATTTTTCCGCTTAGCCATTAAGTCTCGATATCCTGCAAAATAATTGGGTTTAACACCACTCTATCCTGTGTCCTGTTTTGATCATATGTTCGGCTATCTCGGATTTTTGGTTTCATAACCCTGTGCAAGTGAGTCAACGCTCAGACAACTTCTTCTGTTTGGTGCAAAAGTCCTCCCCACATAGACACTGTCACATGAGCATGCAATGTATAGGATCCTAAGATGCAAAGTGTATCGCAAGATTCTCTAAGCAAGGGCTTAACTTAGGAAACAGTTAGACTTTCTTTATACATGATCGTGACTTTCCATTTTCTCAGTAGCATCCAGAATCTGGATGAAGAGTATTCTAATTCCATGTTTTACCTTATCTTATTTTTTATTTATTCGAAATTATAAATACATATATGCAGGTTTCCTTTTAATTTAATCTGTAAACAAAATTATAGCCTCATAGTCACACAGGCCCTTCAAACTATATTCAATCATAGAAGTAAGGTTTTGTCAGGTAAACAGGTGAATAGGTAAATAGATGGATTACTAGCATTAAAAATAAATAAATGGGTGGCTAGAGAGATATAAAATTAGGTGGTTAGTTTAGACATAATCATGCCGGCACTGAGATAGATTACTCTATAAACATAAAGATAGGTATAGTTCATGGCAGAAAAATATACAAATAATTGAGTTGATAGATAGGAAATTAATTGATTACCTTTATAAATAGAGCTAAATTGTCAGTTGTCTACGGTATAATGTTGGTTTTTAATAAACAATATGATGCATAATCTTTTTGTTAATATTTTAGCTATATATAATTAGGAGGATTTATATAATGAGAAGGTAGTCTACCGAAAGATAATTAGATATTAACCAAAATAAACACGCACGTGAATATTTACTTAGATTATCAGATAGACTATTAGGATAGAAATTTGTTCAGATAGAAAGCCTCGAAATTTACTTACCATAAATATTTAGTTAAACAGTCAAATATGTAGTCAGAATGAGAATCCAGAACAGATAGTTCAGAACTATATTTACTCTAGATCAGGTAAGTTGATGAACGATTAATAGTTCCCATAACGTTATGCGTAAGCTTGACGATACCATTACATCATTACCTAACTTTGCATCCCAAAATGAATTATTATCCAGAATGAACTGCAGCTACGACCTCGAACAGGTCGCATCAGCAACCCCAATGGCAATTGAACCCGGACACTGTAGCGTATAGTTTCGACATGTTGCCACTTCCCTATACTGCCACTATTTCGAGTGGCTTAAGGGAGGGAGGAAACTTCAAGGCAAGCCAGTTCCCTCTATATCACAGTTTTTAGGAGGATTGCCAACGAAGCAAACTTTGGGTTGCCATTAGTATTGACCAAATTAATTCTATTCATACTGAGTAGGTTTAGATACTACCTGTAAAACTTGAATGAGAACCGTATTGTTATCTTGTATTTTATCATCTTTCTAGACGCCTAGTTAAATACCTATCTTTTTGCCTATCTAAGCATTTATCAAACTAAATTTTTGTATGTTTGTCTGACTGTTTATCTGATTATCTCAATTGCTACGCATATTCCTAGATATAAATGTACATATTTTCCTATCGAATTATCTTGATATTTGTCTAACTGAATAATCTTTATGCTTATATTGCGTAGATTTCTATACTATCAAGATAGTTTAAATAAGAAGTGTAATCAATCTAAGTCGCATAAGGTCACAAGAGACTAATAGTTGAATTTTTCCACAGTGATATGTGCCGGACTCATGATGAGATTGTCTGTATTCTTATTGAAGATCTACTGATACTATCGAAACATACTCATTATGAATATGAGCACTGATATTGATTGCAATATCAATCTGCGGCATCGGTAGCTGGGTAGTTTAGTGATTTTTTGGCGAAATTACAAGCTGCACTAGTCGAGCACAATTAGCTTTAGATGCTTTGTCAAGACCCATGCGAGGTCAAGACTGCTGTCTACTCTGAATAAGAATACCTTCGGGAAATAAGGCTAAGAGAAATACAATGATAAAGTGAGGCTTGCACACGTGATTGTTATTAATTTCACCTATCGGTCATTCATAATCTATTTTAAGATCTCTTGCCAATATTGAAGACTGTTTTAAATGAGAATAGAGTTAATTTATTTGAACATAAAGCAAGACACTTGAATAGGAAAATAGGTATATATTAATTTTGGTATATGTATAAATATTGAGGTGATCAGTCCAGATGAGCATTCAGATAAATAACCAAATCGGCTTCTATAAAGCTGATCAGATGGCCATATATAAAGATACTAAAATATAGACGAGACGGTTAATCGTATAGGTATTTGGGTAAGTAATCGGCTATGTAGATAGATATAACGAAGAACGGATAAATAGCTAATTATCCAGGTAGAAGTCAGACAATGAGCTTAGTTATTATATACATTATTGTATCGACAGTAAGATAGATTATAAAATTGATGATCAGATGGTTAATTAAATAGGAGTTTAGGTAAATAATCAACAATAAATTATTTATATAACCAGCCAGGGAGATAACTAGATAGTAATATACTGCCAAGCTAGGTATTCAAATAACTAGATAATTAATAAGCTCGTTCAGCAGATGGATATTCGTATGTCTAGATGTAATTAATTTATTATTATATAGTTGGACTATCACACTTAAAAGCACGATATCAATTTAAACGTGAGTTTGGCTTTTTTTCCTTAAAATCCAAAAGCCATTTGTAGGCCTCTTGTTTAAATTTCTACTCATATTCCTACTCGTGTTTAGGTCCAGATACTTGCATTTGCAACTGATTGATCAGTTTATTCCACTTCATTTGATTGCTCAAATAGGATTTATTTATTATTCACTTTTCACTGTTTTCTTGTATAGGGACAACGGATCGATATCGAGTACAAATTTACGATGAAAAATTGAGAAGAAAAAGCTATGAATTCGTGGGATCTAACACACAACTTACCTGCTTGGTGGATGGTAAGTATATGTTTCCTTTATTCATTAATGACTTTTAGCTCTGCTGTTATGGAGATTCATTAAATTTGATACTTAAGAAAGATGAACAGATTACTTTGTCAGATTACTCAAATAAAATAGTCTATTTGCCCCATAAATCCGACGTGAATAGGATTCTAACTCCTCATATTTGGCACGCCATTAGTCAGAATTTAACCATGAAAATAAACTGTTTTTAAAGATTAAATAAAATGAATAAGTGAACAAGACGCAGATTTTTGTAGTTTGTCTCAACTCGTTTATTAAACTTGATTGTTCTCATTCCGTTTGGCCTTATTTTAGTCGAAAATGAATTAGAGTTATAAACGTTTACTGTTGAAAATTGGGATCACTGATGAAAAGGGCTCTACTGAATACCAGAACGTAGCTCGCAATAGAAGCCAACTCGATCTGCCAAATATCTGCTATTCAGTCATACCCCATCCATTGTCCTTTATAAGATTATATTTCTATGTCTGCCGCCAAACCAGATTTGCAGCCTTACTCCTTTCTATATTCTCGAGGATGCCGAATTGCCTTTCATCCATTAGGATTAGCCTCAGTTCCCAGGTTGACAAGTTATATTGCATGGCTTTCTTCTTTGATGTTATCAAGCTATCGGAAGAGGAACGAAGATGAATACATTTGACTTTCTTGCGCCAAAACGACATGCGTCGGTAGGACAAGCATATGCCTTAGCTACGGCCTACCCACTATAAAATTAGAAGAATGCAGTGAAAATAGCACACAAAAATGTAGGAATACCGCAAATAAAGGTTGTAACAGCATCTTGACCATGAAATCTACGACGCAGGTTTGCGAGTTCTAAAATAAATTCCTAATTCCCCTCTAATATTTGTTTGATATTATAATTTTACTGCTAAATCAATTACCATAAATCAGTTTAGGTTCATCAAATAGATGGGAGAATATTCGTGAGCCTGAAAAACCTGTTCGAATAAGTCAAAAAAGTTACCACATTAGTTATAGGATATTAGGGATTATCACATTCAGATTCTACCAGAATATTTGACTAATCGTAATCGTGAGGAGTATAAATGGGAAAAAATTAGTTTATGGTGTCTCTTTTAAAGTAAGGTCCTAAAAATATTATTGTTAAAATATTTTAAAAATAATTACCATCTTCCTTACTTCTCCTGGATGCTAGTTAAATACGAGTTTCATGTTTTTATTGTTTATCAGGGTCTGAAAACTGTGTTTTTATCAGTAGAATGAAGGAAGATCATAGCTGCTAAGTGTTTTTTAGAGCAAATTTAATTTTCATGGAATATTCTTATTCGCCTTATCTTGCTCCTCCTATTCCGTCAGCCAATTATGGGCTAGGATCGTACAAAATCGCTAAAAACCAGTTTATCATACTTGTCAGAAGGGCACATTATAAGTACTATAACTATTAAAGATGATATACTATTTCTGCTGCATTATTATGTGACGTATGCCTACAATTTATGGTTAGGTAGGGAAACAGTAAATGGTAAAATCGTCTAATTTTCTCTTGGCAATGCGCTAATTCCTTCTACTCTCTCCTGATAGATCGTCAGACTGGGGAACGTACAGAGCCGATGGCATATTTCTGGCGTATCCGGTATCCAGACGGCGTTTTGTCCAATATTCACAGACCTGGCGAGCTGGCCACTTCGATTTCAGGCATTGATAGTCGCCAACTCAGCCTTGTTGGTCTGACGACCTCACCGGAGGCAGGATTTGCTGAGGAAGAGGTGTATGGTTTGATCTGCACAGCCCAACACAATGCCACCTACGAGACGCAATCCAACGAGTTTCGCATTCATATCCGCAGTAAGTGAGGAGACATACATTATTTGAGCATTAAATACTGTGTCCAGTCACATGAATGGCGGCCTGACTTGTTGCATTACAACGCCATAGGACTTAGCTATTCCAGCTGTTTCAGTCTATTTCATACGAAAAACCCTAGCTATGGTTGCTGGGTGATTTCGGAATAATACGAGTTTTTGCAGTGGTTTATTTGGACAAATAACTATGCGGAATCACAGTTACCTATGACTTGAAACCAATTCTCCCCTAGCCCTGAATGGTACCAAAGTCATGCTCATACCCGGATACACCAATACCGAGTTAACTTTCTGTCAAAGACCTTAAGGGGGCTGATGCAGAATTGTGAGTAGAGTTCCACTTAAAATAATGTGGATTTTGATATGATAGTCAAGTGTTTGTCTCACACTGGGCGCTCAGCAATGACTCATTGTAGCAGCAAGGCTACATGATGCCTATCTGCCCATATTTACATTTATTTAGGATTAATACTGATTTTAGCTGGATTCCCAGGCATAGTCTCTCTCTGTTTGGGTTTTATTATGAGCCTCTTTATTGTTGTTTTCTTTATTATTATTTTCTATGAGCCTATTTAGATTGTTTTATACGTTAAAATTTGCGTTCCTGTCAGTTTTGAGTAAAATGGAATAGTGTAGTGTTTGGATAGCTCAAATGAGCAAGTTATATTCATTTATGTGTATTCTTCATAGTTCAATACGAAGCTTTACAGAGTTTCAATTATCCCTTCAGATAACAGTCATGTGAAGACTTTAATTTCGTATGAAAGTGCCTGGTCAATAGGTTCGTAGGTCAAACTCACCAGAAGACGTCTTGTGTATCTCATTAGTCTGCATTCATTTGGCTCTAAAACAGCGTTTTGAGTTTCGCAATCCACAAGAAAACCTCCCTCGTTTTGTGTGAAAGCTAGCTGAGATTTATCTTTCAAGCGATAGATCGTGCCAGCATCATCATTGCAAAAGTTTCATGGTAACGTTGAGTTAAAAAAAACTACCACAGTAAAATATATACGCAGGACGGAAAACTAAAATGTATAGAATTATATGTTAAATTCTCTTTTAAATTATTCGGAGTAATTACACATGAGTGTGTGTTTGTGCAATTCAGATTTTGCAAAAAATGTTATAACTCAGCGCAATAAAAATTAGCCTAACATTAGTTCCAGGTCATTAAGGTTTTATGACCAGAGAAAAACCATGGTTGAGATTGCGTAATCCCATACAACTGGTTGATTTGATCTGTTTAATAGAACTGTTGAGCGCATGTGAAAGTAGCTATAACCATCAATTAACTGAAAAGTTGAGTCACCTTTTTTAATCACTGGCTTCAGTGTATCGATCAAGCAGAAGTAGCTCTTATTTACTTACTTTCATTAATTAATTAAATTTAACGTATTCCACAATTTATCAATTTCTGTAGCCTATCCTAGTTTACCTTTAGTAGCATAGGCGTCTTATTCAGCAATCCGGTGCGTTTGAGAGCGTTCTATCTCGTGGTTAGTTACTGCTTTATTTTCAGCCCCTTTTGATGGTTGGGCCCGGCTTCTGTAGCAAGTATTTTTGTGTTTAGCCAAAGTTTTGCGATTAGGCCAACAGGTCTCACCAACCTAAGGGCTACCACACGAGCGCACAACAGGATAATCGATCAAATTCACTTATAAAAGTCTATACGTAAATTAAGTGTCAATGTTTGTTAAAAAACTTTTTTTATCCGTCATTTCTCACTATTCAGCCAATCCGCTTAGAAGAAACTTGCCCAAATCTGACCAAATAGTCTCAGCCTAAATATATATTCCTTATTAAATAGATATTATTTTAATTAGACACAAAGGATAATTAATTTCTATGACTAAATGTTTCAATCTTACTCTTAGTCAACTGATTTCTATCAGCAAGCCATATACTTATAATACTCATTGGCTCATACCTTAAAGCTTATTATTGTAACAATGCCTATAAATAATATTATGAATAGAACCAGCATATTTTGGTTTCCTTTAAGCATATCCGCGTGACTTTCCATCTTTCCTAATAAACAGAGCATCCAAAAGCATTAATCTTTTATGCTTTTCTAAGTTCATGCGGAACTTAATATTATTTTCACGCTGGTATAAGTAAAAGTTGGTAACTATATAATTTTTACATAACATGTCAAAGGACAGAATAATCATTCATACACCATTTAAATAATTTAAGGTTCAGTTTTTCCTCTTTCATTAAGCCTTTTAAAAACCATCACTACTACTATTGCTCGTTGAAAGGTGAAGTAATTTTATAATGGAGGTTATATATAACTTTTCCCCTCCGGAGTGAACATTAGAGGCAGAGTAGCTCCCTAATCTAGAATGCTAGTATGTATATTAAAATGGACTAATATTCTGTCTTCCAAAGTTGTCTGCTGCTAAACAAATTTTGCAAATTTAAAAAAGTTTGTAACTGAAAATAGCTCAACTTCGGCCGCATGTAATAATTATTTTCAAAAAAAAGAATCATACTTCCTTTCGTATTTACAATCAATCCCTTTTTATGAACCTTTCGAAGCCTTAGATGCCCCTATTGAAGTGATAAAATCACTTTCTCCATCTTCATTTCCCGAGTAGTCATGCACGCCTTTAAGGCACCCTCTCTTGGACCTTCCGTCAAAGTCATTTACTTTATTTGGCATCTTCTCCAGCTAAATTAATTTCCAATGATGACCACTGCTTCACCTTTATTAGCTTTCATAATAATCACAAAATCACTCAATAATTATCTAAAATCTCACTTTGAATACAAGATTTCCTTAGCATAAATATCTGTTAAAAATGAGGAATCCCTTCAATATTTATCATGATAATTAATTCAATTAGTATGTGAAAAGCATCCTTTTCTTTACAGAAGTCTACCGAATAAACTCACTACCCTATATTTGTTTAAAATTACTTAAATTGCATTTAGACCTTTTTATCTTAGGTATAGAATCCCCCGAATTAATTCAGTTCATTAAGTACTTACTATTAACTCGCTTAATCATACTAGCTGCATTTTCTCCTTAGCCATAGGGAAATTCTTGTAATTTAAGAAAATCATCTTCACTTAATATTTGATAAGGAGCATATTTAATGGAGTATTGGTTCTAATAAGTTTTTGCAACCGGCTAATCCTCACCATAAGCCTAATCTTAGATAAATCACTCGATACCTAATCCCATACTCTACTAGCAAAACTAGGTAGATAAAACGCGTACCAAAAAAACAACAACATTATGACAGTTACAAACGGTTTAAACCCTAATTCTCCTGTAAAATGTTATGGATATCAAGATTATATGGGCTCTACTTTAGTCACCGTATTTTCTCAATGTTTAGAAGCGGTTGATCTCGTTTTCGCCACTTGTCTATGTTATCAGTGCGACCTAGATGAAGCACGGAGGACGAAGTGACAGAAGACGCTGGGCAGGGCGCATTCATCTAGATCGCTCTGAGAACATATCCGATTAGCGAAAGTGATGTCAAAACATTTCTACTTTAATGGACTTGATTGAAGGTGGCTTTCTTGGTCTAAGGGTATCGCGAAACTAAATAGAATGAAAATAAGTTGAAAAATACCTTCGTAATTTATAAGAAAACTAATTGAATTCCAAAGAATCTCTTTAGCTAATATTGTTGCGGGACTTTCCGCTGATATTAAAGCGCATTGCTTATTTGTGTACCCAACAGAGGATCCCAGCATGACTATTACTCGACATTTCCATTTTAAAATACTTATCATTATTTCTCTCTTGCAATAGTTAGGCATGGTAAAAAGATTAGGGCCTAGTCGTTTCATTTAGACATATGAAGCGTGTTATTGATATTCTCCCTCCTGATATCAGGAAAGCTTGTTTCGAATCCTTTGAGAACTCATTTATCGGCTAACTATATGTGGATATTTCTTTTTAAATTTCTTTCGAATTCTTTTATCCCTTGCATATTGAAGAATCTTTTTAGAAAATTTGTTCGGGCGTGAACACTATTTCGTGCAAAATTTAACGTAAAAGTGTGCTTAGTTTACCAGCTTGGATATAATTTGAATAATTTTATACATTTATGAGGGTCAACCGCATCTATTCGAATGCAGGAAAATGTATGCAAGCTATTATTTGAGCCATAAACACTCAAATATAAAGTGTATGCTTATGGATGTAAATATGTCTCTAAGAATCAAATAACCTTTGGCTTTGTAAGACGTAATAGTAATGAAGGAGGATTGTCTAGGAGGAGCAATTATGGACTCGAATGCTGTCCAGATAAAAAATGTCTCAGCTTTTGCTCTGCTCAAGCAGGTATTCCAAGTATCCATTTGGATTTAAATCACTATTAAGTCACAATAATCACGAGCATTAATTTTTGCATGAAATCAAATGTGGTGGTGCTTACATATTTTGCACTATTTAGGCATCATAGGCTGCCAGAAATACCTAATATTCGTTGTATGTTTTAAAGTTATCCGTACTTTCTGAATAATCAATTAGATTTCTTAAAGCGATTTAAGGAGAAAGAGTGGCGCTTTAACCTCAACGAATGGAGTATACTACACGAGGCCATTAAATTAAACACAGCCATTTTCCTCAAAGTTCAATATATTCTTTGTAATGTTCAAGATAATCTAAAATAAATGTGTTTCTTTCTACAGAAAAACCCGTACTGACGAAAATCTCCTTCGAAAGACTTCTACCCAACCTAGAGACGTTAGAGGATGAGAAGGATACCTACTCCAACAAAATCGATTACAAGGTGGCCTGCAATGCCGAAATTTCTGGACCTATCCCGGCGATAAGTTGGCAGAAGGTAAGGAATCATACACTTTTTTACGACCTATTAATCAGCGAATTTTCAAGCTACCATAAGCATATGTCGTTCGGACCAATATTATTGGGCCTGGCCAGCTAGCAAACGCCCTACTTCCCAGTATTAACTCACTTTAGGCTCAATAGGAAATTATGAGAACGATTGCTATGATTTCCTTTCTTAGGGTATAGCGATCATACCAGCTAAAGGCATCCGTATCTGAGCCAATAATCACTGTGTGGTAGAGTTCACTACCACTGGACTGGCTTATTTTAGCTACCATTGGTCCAGGGAAACTTATGAAGCTTTTATCATTTAGTGATTCATTGCCAAAAGGACTCATGGGATACATACTTAATTGCACATTTTCATGTCCATACTTATGTCCAACAAAGCAATTTGAGATTGTATGATCTGAAATCCATTAAACCCGAGATCCAATAACATCCTTAAGCTTCTAGCTAAAGTCTTCTTACAACCGAATTATAATGTGATAGGTTCAATTATCACTTAACTTACATGATTATCTAAGTAAAATCATGAATATACTTGGAATTTAGAAGGAAAATTCTACAGAAATGAATGTATAAATTAGCCTAATCTAAAACCAAATGAGAGTTTGTGCAAAGAATGTTAGAGTGTGTGGAAAAGTCCTGTGCTTCTGTGCTGAGCCCTAGTCCATCATGTGACAGGCATCGTCAGATCAAGACGGCATATTTTTCTAAATACGGCACCGATATGCTGAACTAGAAGAAAATGTGGCCAGCTGAAAGCCTACTCACTTCTTGTGCTTAATTTTGCATCTTTAGGCTTCTTATGCAATAGTTAGTTATTAAGGGTCTACTTTACATGTTTGCAGATGGGCGAGATTGAAGTGGATGAGACCACATCACATTTCGTGTCTATATAGACCAGTGTTCGATCCCGTAATTTTTACACATAAAAAGATATGTGCTACTGTGTATTGTGTGTATGCAACGAGCAAGTAAGGTGAGATATTGGAGCCCTAACAAGACTAGAGACTGTTGATGCCTCGTACTCTAACTCAACGTTTCTTCCTGCTTCCTCTCTTACTAACTTCATGACATATATTTAGAGTCACTAATCTTAACCTTTAATAACTAATCCTAGTAATCTGAATGATGCTGTGTTTCCCACCATTCCATTACCTGTCCTGTATTAACTGTAAATTAACTCTCGAATTTTTGGGACAGGCAGATTTATATTCAGATAACCTGTTACGCATGGGTTAGAGGGTCTCTCTCTATATAAATATCCACAAAACCTTTTGGAATACCGATCCTGAAAGATATTCTGTAAAATTGTAAAAAAGTAGGCATATTATTGGAAAGTGTTGCTTCCTTGGTATATATTTTTCTGATGATCTGGAAAATCGGATTAATGTATACAATAGAACCACACTTTCTACTCTTGAGAAATTTTATACTCCTTTTCTAGATCCCTATTCCGCAAGGTTTTGGGGTTAGATGGATAGGTTTATGTGTAGAATCCTTATAATCCATACTTAAGAATAAATCTTAATACAAAACCGCCTGCAAAACGCTGCAGGGTCAAAAATCTGGGCATCCCAATAGATATTCTCATGCAGGCTGGATTATAGTTTCAAAGTAGCTAGGTGAATATAATTTTTTTGGAAACAAGACTAAATGAAATTAATTGGAAACTTGAGGATTATTCATAGCATTGTCGGAAAGTATTTGTTCTACACCATGTTAAGCAACCTAGATTAAATAAAACATTATTTAAAGATTTAGTGATAGTCTCGAAAGCCTAATTCATGTAAATATCGGGCGATATGTTTATTATTTAGTTATAGAATTTGTCGCTGGTATTGTTAAACCAACTAAATACAATTATATAATTTAGCTGGAAGTGGAAAAAAAGGGACTCATAAATTGTATTAAAGGAACATTATGGCCTACTTATTCTCTCAGCCTATAATAGGAATATAATGTCGAATAGCTTTAGATGTCTAAGTCTCTCTTTGAAAATATAAATGAGTTGAAAATAAACAGACAATCTATGTGGCTATCAGGGTATGTAGACTTAAATGATAATATAATTCACATTCCCTTTTGTTATCCTATTTATTAAGTGCAAGGACTCGGAATGTTCGTCTGCCGTTGATATTTTACCGCGAAGCAACAGTCTCGAGTTCTATGTCAACGCCACAGATTACCAGGATGAAGGGATGTTCCGTTGTGTTGTGCTGCAATTTCTTCCCAACTACAACTACGAACTGAATAAGACGAAAATATTTGAGCTCAAACGCCAAGGTGAGCTTTGCCAGTGACGCCAATGGGCTTTAATGCGTTCAAGTCCGGAAATAATGTTCTACCTCATTAATATTTTTAGAAAATTTCGCCACTGACTGAGTCAGTTCTCAGCAATCCTCCTTTGAAAGGTATGCCTGATTCTGTCTAATTCAGGAAGTGACGAACTATTTTTAGATAGCCGTCATTTTAACTTTGTGCAATTTTTCATAGGTTTAGACGAAAAATCTCTCGGGTCTTCCTCTTTGTCAGCAAACACCTGCAGCTTCTTGCAGGCTCCTTTATATTTCTCACTCGGCCGCTTATATTGAGCCCGTCTCCCAGCTACGTTAAAGATGTTATAGTCCATTAATTCATTATGAATTCGATAGTCAGATTATCTGTTAAGGGTATAACAGGTATTTGCTTCATAAAATGAGCGGCCTGAGTACTAATACATCCTTATTCGCTTTGAACATTTCACTTTTTATATATGAAAAAAACACTTGACTTTGAGGATTACCATAGTACTTTAATGTGATCCGACATTTCATTTCAAAGGTAAAGTTTGTTGCAGTGAATTTGTAAGGCTTCATCATCAAAAACCGAAGGATTTTAAGGATAATTTATCGGTTTACTGCCCTGGGACTCCAATAAATACATGTTGAGACAAACTTTGGACTCTGTTTTAATCATTTTATATTTCTTACGAAGATAGCCCATCTTATAGCCTTAATCTGAAAGTATTCTTTCCCAATTTTGATTAATGTGAACAGTGAATTTAATAAGCTGAATTACTCTGAAGTTGAAAAGAGATAGTCCTTGAG